CTACCTGGAAAATATTGTTAGTCATTGGCTTCGGGAACTTACACGTACTGAGCATGGCCCCTCTTTCCCATTGTGTACGAGTCTTCATACTCTGGCATAAGCTCCCAATACTGTTTACTGCACTCAATTGTATACTTGATGAGAGAATCGTTTGGTGTGTAATGATGATGGACGCGACTCTTGACTATCCTTTTATTGAATATAGACGTGTAGATATATGCAATTGTATCATCGCGCTCAGTTTGAAGTGTGAATACACCTCGGCAAGACTGTTTCACGTGAAGCAAGCCATTCTGCCATTTACTGACTTTTGCGCTCATAGAAGTCAACATTTGACATTTTAAAGTGTATGTTCTTCCGAGTACTCGTCGTTTTACTTCTCGCTGTCCACTCTTTGTAAATATATTACCCGATATATCGATTTACAGATTGAAATTCAAGAATTTTCACACCCGCTGTTTTGCGATGGAGCCTAATTACTTTGATAGTAAGGATATTGTCAGGCAACCCACTGGCTGGCACACATTAATTTTTACACAGCATGACTACCTGGTCCATAACGTGTTTATGTATTAACGGGTAAATGCGACTTTGGAATGTATCATTGACAATATTCTAGCTCTACATTGATGACAGGGAATGTTATTTGGAGTAATATCTGTTTAAGCATAAACAGTATTACAGCTTTGGGAGCGTTTATCGGAAATAGGTCGAGTGGAAATATCAAAGCCCTTGCCGCAGGCTCACCACACTGTATAAATATATATCTGAATATGTGACATCGATCATTTATATGGCTTACTACTGCCATAGTCGAACGCATTTAATTGTGACAGAGACGACGGGGTATGGATAATTTACGCACAAGCACCAGGGCAATAAATAGTTCATCAGATTTATAATGATTTTCTGGATACAATGAACGTGATTAGGAGTGTGATGGCAATACGTTACTGCAATAGACTAGGTTTACAGACGTCCTCTCGTCATGCAGATGAGTAAACATCACTTGTTTGCTTTGATGTTCGAGTGTGTAAAACGTTCTAACATAAATATTGCTGACTATTATTTTGAAAGATCAACAGCTGCAGTTTATGTTCCTGTCTGTGTAAAATCTATGAATATAAAACTGATTTCTGCTGAATGCCTGAAGCTTACCCTTAATGTATAGTAGTATGTGACCCTTCTTTGTACACTATACTGTGTAGATTCCATAAGTATCGATTCGAAAGTAGGTAATGCAATAAATAATGACTCGTCACGACACGTTGTATATTTATGTTCGTCTATTTTGACCAATTAAAGGGCCTTCAAGACACTTCTTGAAAACTGATCAAGGCTGTGTACTATCAAATATGTGTACTATTTGTCTCGCTTGTGACATTCATTAACAGTAAAAATAGTTTATAAATAAATAAACGCTGCTCGGACTGATAAATATGATATATAAAAGATAATATTTGGTAATCGTAGTCCTAAATA